AGAAACCCTGCTGCTTATGCGGTGAATTATACCCACGTTCACAAATACTTTACTAATGAATGATTGGAAACGTCTTGTTTCCCCCCTCCTCTTCTGAGTTATTATGGTGCCATGCCGTATAACCTGCTGCAGAGACGGGCATAAAAAATTTCGTGTCCTCCAAGCTCGGGAGAGCTGTGCCGCAACAGGCGCCGTTCCCTACTTGGGAAATCATTTAGACACATCTCGGTGCCGTATGACACATCTCATTACGCCTCGCTTTAAAACGAGCGATTGCCATTAGTTATTTATTAATTGCTTATTAAGGTCGTTACGTATGTCCTCTTCATTTCCCGGCTGCTTTCTTCACATCTTTGGCTGCCGCCGGCTTGGCGCAGAGGGGGCTTGCTCCCTCGGCACAGCCCAGCCCAACGCGGCACGCCGGCGGGGAAGGGGGCAACCGTGCAAACCCAGGGCAGGATTGGCACCTGTAATGGGAAGGTTTTTGTATACGAGCCTCCGTGACCGAGCAGCGGAGCTAGAAGCAGGCGCGAAAGCCGTGTTTGCCCTTCCTCGCACCCCGCCGACTTCTTCAATATCACTGTGTTGATATGATGGAAGGATGAAGCCCTCTCCGCTTTTCTCTTAATTATGCTTGTGTTAGAGCGGCACAAACTGATTTAAAAGCCCATTATAGTGCACCTGGAGTTGAAGGCACGAGTCCCTCAATTTGCTCTCTGCCTTCTTTAAAAAGGTTTGGAACACAATGGAGGGGAGGAGGCGCGATGGCGGTGCTCGGCACCTTCTCCCGACCCGGCGCCTGCTGCCGGAGGAGAGGAAAATGCTCCGCTTACAACCTGGAGGAGTTGGATGGGGCGCCTGATGTGGGGGTCCCTACCCTGTGCCCCATCCCGACTGGCTTTGGTGGACCCTTCCATGGCTGGTGCGAGAGTCAGGGGCTCCCTTCGACCCATAGCATCGCCACAAGCGGGGCTGGGGCACCCGGGGCTCCCCCTCGCCGAGTCCCAGAGGCAGGACCCGTGGTAGTAGCGCTCTGTAAAACATGGGGAAGTCTGTGGGTGACAGCGGTAAGAGGCTGTTATTAAAAGCAGAAGCAGCGGCAGCCTGATGTTCGGGAAGCTGCCAGCGCGCATCGCAGATCGCCTGCAGAACACGAGTCTGAATCTCCCTCTCTTTCTTTCTTCAAGACGCTTTTATAGTTGTTCTTTGTTGTTGCCTTTGATCTGAAGCAGATGTTGCTCATGCTGGAAGACGGAAGTTTGCATGTTCTATGACGGGGGACACAAGGCGCTCACTAGGCTTACCGGGAGAGCCCGCGTAGAGAGGAGGTGGTTAAGGCAAAAAAAAAATAAATACGCGGTTCCTCCTTGCAGGCACCCAACTTGATGAGGCTCATCTGAGGTCTCCTTCTCTATCCCTGGTGGAGAGGTTGCTCCGCATCCACACTCCCCTGATACTCAGGGCTCTCCTTGCCTCTCGCCTGATGTGTGGCTGAAATTTGGGGTGCCACAGCATCGGGGAGAGGGAAGTACGGGCATCACCGTGGTCATTGATGGCTGGGGAGGCAATGATGATAGGAGATGGCAGTGCCAAGGGGTACGTGCATGGGATGCCTGAGCTTTTCCACCTGTGTTGGCTCTGGGATGGGTGTTTGGAGGTGAAAGTGTCGCAGGGGTATCGCCTGTGCCAGTGGCAGGAGGATGCCTGCGCGCCGGGGAATACATCCGTGTAGGCAAGTGCATATGCTTGGATCCATTAAAGACATATATCACCTGACTGAACACCCTCGAACGTGTAACGCGCCATATGGTTTGGTTAAATATTTAAGCAAGCTGCTTTCTGTCCCAGGGACTCGGCGTGTACGAGCAGGGGCCAGATCCGGGCAAAGTGGGGGCATGCCCTGGGCTCCTGCGGGGGTCTGCCGCGGCTGAGTGCAGCCCAGAGACCTTTCCCATCCCCGTGGCGAGGACAGGGGGGAAAAAAGAAGTTGTCAGATCAATAGAACACCAGCCCATCCCTGGGGAAATCTGCGCTGTGTCACTGGAGCAGCTTGGCCAACACTGCCATGTTTAATCACTTCTGAGCAAGAGCGATGCTGAACACAAAAGGACTGCCCGCAAGGAGCGGGTTCCCGCCTGGGAAGCCGGCATTTATTTAGCTTTATTTATTTATTCATTCCCATAGGGGCACAGCTCCATCTGCGTCCCGCGTTCAGCATAAGAAATCTCTCCTCTGCCCTGTTGCCGCAGCAATGCCAACTGACGGAGACCGCGTTTTAATGCAGAGGGAACAGGAGCAGCGGTGACCATTAAATAATATTAAAGATATACTGGCGATCACTTATTTGTTCAGCTCTCCCTCCCTAGTGTGGTAAAAGCCTGATGACATACCTGTTCAGTCTCCAGAAAGGCATTTTAAATAGTTCGTGTGGTTAATTATTCAAACGTTTAATTAGCATACAATAACTGTCGTGTTAAATCCTACCACCGCACATTTAATTTAAGGGTTAGCTAACGACTTCGCTGACGTTGTCGCTCTGGTTTACTTCCCAGCCGTTCCTGCCTCATCTCATCCCCGGTGGGCTGCAGTAAATCGCCTTTTCCCGAGCACGTCCCGAGCTCGCCGGGGCAGGGTGGGCTTTTTCCCCGGCGCACGGGCGGCTCGAGATGCTTTTGCGCTTGTCGGAGAGCATCGCAAAGTCTCCCATGGCCCGGCCAAGCAGCGACACGATCACCCCTCCTCCTCTCTCTGCTCTGAGCGGAACGGCAATCTCCTGGTGAATTGCTGAGGAGGAGGACATAGCGCTCGGGTTGTGGGAAATCCAAGTTTAATTTGTTTTAATTATGTTTTTAGACTCTGGTCAGTGGATTTGATTGTGGATTTTTGGCTGTGGCGTGGGCGGGCGCAGAGCCGTGTGCGCGGTACCAGACTCGCGGTGCAAAGTCTGAGATGGGGTGTGGTTTTTTTTTTTCTAAGTCTCGGTGAGCTCCGCAAAACAAGCTGCATTGGGTTGATGGGGATTCAGTCGTTAAAAAAACAGAAAGATTCCTCTGTGATTTAGCGAGCGTCGCGTCGAAGGAGACAGATATCGCTCTCGTTTTGTCGGGACTTATAGCTGGAAGCTGTTGCTTCTTCGCAGGTGATGGAGGGCAATTCACTGCGCCTCCGCTTCTCTCTTCCCACCTCTCTGAAACAGCAATGGAGAGACCTCCTTGGCCTATTTTCCGCATCCAGACCATCTTTTTTCAAAGCACACGTGGATTTCCTAACGAGCGGTCCCAGCCTCGCCACCAACACGGCAGGGCAATCACCGCGCAGTTATAATTAATTGCACCTCCTCAATGGACTACCTGCCTATTGGCAGAGCATCTCCCAGCTCCATGTGGGCGGTCAGTCCCAGGAGGCATGTGCCATCCCCTTACGCTGGGCTTAATGACACTGGCCTTAATGACACTGATGCATATTAATATTTCTCTCGGTGTCGCCTTCCTGCCCTCCGTTGTCCTGCCCCAGAGCCCCCACTGTTCTGGGAGCGTCTGATCCGTTCTTGTCCTCCGGTGCATGATTAGCAGATTAGCCGTCGTGCCCAAAGCAGCACAAAAATGAACTCCCAGAAGCCCTTCAAAACAGAGAATAATTCATTACCCACCTTGATTTCCACTTAAAATGTACTTTAACTACACTTCCAACTACAAACCCTAAATCACCCTCATGTTCACAAAAAATCCATCATTTTTTATTTTATTGCACGGCACTGGCATGACATAATCCCTTCCAGAGCGTCTTGGAGTGCTTTACAGATCAATAAATTACTTACCTGCGCAGCAGAGGCAATGCGTTGCAAGGCCATTGCAGTCATTCCGGCTCGGAGCGACCCTGGGAAGGTGTTGGAGGGAGGGAAAGGGGTTGTTGGGAGTGGGGTCCCGGTCGGGAATAGGGATGTTGCAGTGGTCTGGGATGCAGCTTCCAGCCCGGGGAGGGCGGAAAGGAGCGGGGATGCTTTGCAAGTGATTTGTGACTCTCCTGCAAAGCACCGCAGCGGGATGCCAATCTGCCGCTAGGCTCCGGAGAACGGCTTGGGAAAAAAGAAATAAAATAATAATAAAAAAAAAAAAAAAACAAAACAGCCAAGGAAGGTGATGGTCTTTATTATGTTGTGCAGGTGCAGGCTGATAGCAGCAGCCGGTCGTTTTTCTCGTACAGCACGTAGGAAGCTCAGCCCTCCCCGCCAGCTGCATCGCCTCCTCCGCTCGAGGGCTCCCCGCTCGCTCCTCACCCCTTCCCCTTCTCCTCACCCCTTCCCCTTCTCCTCACCCCTTCCCCTTCTCCTCACCCCCTGTCCTCTATGGGGGTCCCCTCTTTGGCTCTTGTATCTGACCAGCTCCTGAATGTCCATGATGGCACGATGGGCTTTCAACCCAATTGAATTTCCCTTCCTTTGCACGGCGGTAGACCTTGGAGGCTCCTCGGTAGACGTGTCACCTTCATGCGCGGCTCCTCTCGGTGCTTTTGTGGTTGCGGGGGCATGGCAGAGAGCTATGGAAAGAGCTGCCAGCCTCATGCGTGCTTTTGGGTGCTCTTGCTGCACCAGGCGCGATTGCTGCCTTCCCGGGGACTTCAGAGGAGGTTGGCCACTGTTTTCCCAGTGGGATGCGGCTCTGCTGGAAGGGGTTCATCATGGCTGGGGGACAGGATGAGTACTGGAAGCCTGTGGGCGAAGAAGTACTGTCTCACGCACCACAGAGGTGCTGAGGAGGAGCTGTCTCGAGCCTCCCTAAAATGACTGAATCCCCTCTGGCTACCGTTTCTTCCTGCTTCAACCCGATTTTCTCTGCCCCCCCCCTTTCCCCTGTGTGTTCCTGTCAAGTCAGATGAGGGTGATGGGCTACCGCATATCTTGTGGAGGGAGGAAGGATATTCAGCCTCCTTCACCCACCTTTAGAGATTTGAGTCGGAGCAGAACCAGTTGCATTTTCATTTCCCTCTCTGTGTCGCTGCAGTGTCTCCGAAAATCACCGAGATCTCTTCTGACATCTCCATCAATGAGGGCGGCAACGTCAGCCTCACCTGCATAGCCACGGGCAGGCCAGATCCCACAATCACCTGGAGACACATCTCGCCCAAAGGTAAGAGCCAAACCTTACCCAAAATATTCCGGGGAAGGCACAGCGCCATTGGCGAGCGGCTGAGGAGGTGTCGTTGGCGGGTTCACCTCGCAGCTGCGAGAAGAGGAGGTGGTGCGCAACCGAAGGATGGGATTTAATGCAGGAATTGGTGGCTTTGGTGGAGAAACATCCATCTGGGTGGTCTGGGAGAGGTTTTGCTCGTGTGGAGGTACCGTATCGGGGTTGTCGTGCTTAGGAATTGAATGTACTCCTCTGGCCCTATTTTGAAAAGTTTTCGGGGAATTCTCGCACGTTGCTTCAAAGTAGGACTGTAAATAGTGCAAATGAGCAGGAAAACACAGGAAGCATTAATTGGTGGCCTTGTTAATTGGTAAGCGAAACCTGAGCAGAACAGCGTGGGTGTGACTGCTGGGAAGCAAATTCCCATACGTGCCCGTTTAGGATCCTGTTATTTCCAAACCCTTTCCCAGCTGGTTTTTGGCATTGGTTTTGCATTTTGCTGACAGGTTATTCCCGGGTGAGGTTCTCACTGGCGAGCTGTGGGTGAGATGTGGGGGTTTTGGGTGGGCTGAGCCATCCGGCCAAGGGGCAGTGCCCGGCTCTGGTGCCATCTAAGCACTTGTGTTCAACCTCAATCGTTCTCCCGCTGAGGTTTTACCAACGTGGACTGTTGTCCCAGAGACAACTGCCTCAAGTTCTGCCCGGGGATGCCCCGGCCGGGCTGTCCGGCAGCCGAAGGAGACGTCGCAGCGGTGGCAGTGATGGATGGCGCCGTGTCCGCTCTCTCTGTTGAGCTGCCCGACGATGGCTGAGGTGTCTCAGTGCAGCTCCATTGATTTTTTGCTCTTTGTCTGTGCCGGAGCAAGCTTCTGGGCCAGACCCATCGCTCTCTGTAGCGATGCTGAGTCGGCGGCGTCTCAGCCCCTTCCCTTGACAGGAGCCTCTAAAATAAGCATTCCCCTCCCTGGTGCACGTGTTGGCTTATCCGCCTTAGGTGGTCGTGCCTCCCAGACGGTGGCCGTCGGTCGGGCTCTGTGCGCGGGTGAATGATGAAATGCAGTGCCCAGGGCTGTGTGCTGCTCTCCGGCCCCGAGTGTCCATCCGTGGCATCTGCTGTCACCGCGTCTGTCACCATCAGGTGGCATTTACGGTGGAGGCAGGCCACGTGCTCCCACCTTGAAGCCTTTTCTTCCTTCTCCTCTTCCCCTTGCCTACCCTGACAACGTGGTTTTGTCTCTCTCAGCCTCCTCGCTGCCTGTTTTCCCTGCAGCCCCCTTCTTCTCCTTCCCGCGTCCCCTCCTGCTCCCCAGGACCCTCCTCTCCCGCTCCCGTGCCCCTCGCTGCCTTCTCCCCTGTGCCATCCATCCTCTCCTAACCGGGCTCGGGGCTTACGATGCCTCTACCTTTCGCGAGGGCTATTTTCTGTGTTTGCTGCCATCCAGCAGGTTTCTTTCCCCAGGGAATCTTTACCTGCGCTTGAACCAGATGTTTCCATTTTACTTAGGACTTAGCTGCTATGGAAACTGAGGATGCACCAGGAGAGGAAGAGTGAGCTAATCAGAAATTACCTGTGGCGCCGTGTAATTTGCAGCAGCAGCTCTTACCTGATTTGGGGCATGATTAGGCATTCTGCTTTCAAAACTCAAAGGGAACAAATGATCACAGAGATTTACTTGAGCCTGGGCTCCCGCTGGCGGAGGGTGCTGAGCCCCAAGGTGGCCCGAGACCACTTCGGTGGCTGCCTGTCTCCGTAGTCAGCTCCTCTGTTTCTCTCTCTGGGTCTGCCAAGCCACTGAGGAGGGGACCTCTACTTCTCCATTTTGCATTCAGCACACATAGGAGAGAGGAGGATTGGAAGCCCAGGGACCGAAACGAGAGCCAGAGCAGGTGCAGAGAGGTGCTAGCGCAGATGCCGAGCCGGTAGCCCTTTCCCTAGTAGGATATACTCTTAATTTGGAGAGGCAGGAGCGAGTGGGGACCCTAAGTTAGCTGCCGGCCCCTCTTTTAGTTGTAGGTCTCCCTCACCACTCATCCCCGGGGAAGTCTTGAGCGAGATGCCTCCTGTTCCTTCTCGCCATCTTTCTCCGTCTCACTTGGAGCGGTGGAGAAGAGGGACCGGGGAGAATTAGTTAAGGGAAAGACAGTGCATAATTTAAGGGTTTACATAGCGGATGGGTAAGCGGCTCTCGCCAGTGTCACTGGGGAGAAGCTTTGATAGCGCTGTTTGTGCCAGGCATGGGTAGACCAGTAGCTGAAGGAGCCGGTCCCCATGCCTACGCCGGCAAGTGCTCCTCTGTGCAAAGGCACTTCACGAGCTTTATTATTTTCTTGGCGGCTGTAAGCCTACTGTGCGGCTCTTGGTGGGAAATGGAGCAAATAAGAGTGTTTGCTCGCCAGGGGAGCGTGCGGTCGGGTCCTTCAGAGGATTTACACTGAGAGCAGCCCGGCTCCCCGGGGACTGATTTCACCTGAGACCCTTTTCCTGATGCTCCCTCGGCCGCTCGGCTGTTTTCTCGCTGCTGCTTTCCTCTGGTTCGGTGCAATATGCGTTTTAGGGGCTTGGTCTGGTAAGCTGTGCTGAATTTTCACGTCTGCAGTTGTTGCCACATTATGGGAGCCACTAAGCCTGTTTTGGGGGCTCCGTTTGGTTCTGAGGGCTGGAAGAGTTTGCCGCAGCCAGGAGGAGGAGGGCATTTTTGCTGCATAGCTCAGGAATCAGAGAATCATAGAATGGTTTGGGTTGGAAGGGACCTTAAAGATCATCCAGTCCAACCCCCCTGCCCTGGGCAGGGACACCCCCCACCAGCCCAGGTTGCTCCAAGCCCCGTCCAACCTGGCCTTGACCACCTCCAGGGATGGGGCAGCCACAGCTTCTCGGGGCAACCTGCGCCAGGGGCTCACCACCCGCACAGCAAAGAATTTCCCCCTCATATCTCATCTCAGTGTCCCCTCTTCCAGTTTGAAGCCATTCCCCCTCATCCAGTCACTCCATGTCCTTGTAAAAAGTCCCTCCCCAGCTCTCCTGGAGCCCCGTTAGGGACTGGAAGGCCACAATAAAGTCTCCCCAGAGCCTTCTCTTCTCCAGGCTGAACACCCCCAACTCTCTCAGCCTGAGTGAACCCGAGGAAGAGTTTCTCGCTGGTGAGTGGCAGAAGCACTGGCCCCGTCGGTGCCTCTGTTGCCGCTCAGAGCCTACCTGTGCCCATCCCCATCTTCCGGCCATGAGCAAAAAAGCAGGAGGCTGGCTCTGCAGAAGGGTTCTATGAACCATTCCAACTGAGTCCAACCACAATCTTTTGTCCCTCTGCATCACCCCTCTCCATCCATTTTGATTTCTTCTCGCAGCAACGCGGCACTAACCCGTGTCAACGCCTGTTGGTGCAGCTGAACAGGTTGAGGTAGAACAAGAAGGGGTAGCTGGTGTAGTCATGACTTCTTCTGCCTTAGTGGAGGAGGCTTAAGAACTGTGGGGGACCGCCACCAGAGCTGCCGGGCTTCGAAACCGCATCAGGCAGCCAAGCTCTGGCACGCGATGGGGCGGCTGCATCCCACCTTTGGCACGCCTGCAGCCCCGAGACCATTAGGCCGGCAGTCAAGAGAGATGTCCTCAGCAGGATGAAGGGAGGGCAAAGAGAGGATGTCGATAACCATGGTCCTGATATAACATCCAGCAAGAGGGCAGCAGCATCTTTCCTGAGGAGACGCAGGTTTTGCAGGGGACTTGGACACCGGGGTCTGAAAGGCAGTGTTGTGTGTGCCCACGCATTTCTGTGTGCACCTATAGGTGCCGAGCTTCTCTCTTTTTTTCGAAGGCTTCGGCTGTATGACGGTCCTCAGCCTCGCGGTGCCGATGCCATCTGTAAACTGCGGAAAGCTCTTCTAGTTAATCGTCTGGTTTGGGTCACTCGGGTGTTTCCATAGTTACGGGGCTTTTTATTTATTTTGGGGGGTAACTCTGAGGTTGTCATGGCGATTGCCGTATTTTCAGGGCGGTTTTCATCTCTCGGCGGCGTTCCTTGGCTGGGAGAAAGTGCGGCGGCCTGAGGTGCCGGGCGCAGGGCGATGCCAACGCGCGCGGAGCTGCTCGCTCGCAGAGCTAACCGGGGGGATATTTATCCCTGCTGCGGACACAAGACTCGTTGTGCCTCCCGTTACGCTGGGGAAAAGCACTGAGGAATTGAAGTGTGGGCTCTACCGGGAAGGACGAAGGCTCGGCAGCCGCTCCCCCCCAGGAGGAGGAGGCACAGCTTAGCAGTAATGATAACGAGGAGTCAGGCGGGAAGCGTGGTTATCATGCCGTGATGGGGCCAGGGACACGAGGAAAGGGTGTAAAAACGAGGTGTGTGCATGCAGATAACCTTCAATGGCACATCTGCCTGGCCGCACACCAGTCTGCCACGTGCGGACGTCCTGAGCCAGAGGCCGCATCCAAGTCGTCATCCTTAACGACCCTTGATGGACTTTTCTGCCATGGATTTGTCTAATTTCTTTTTGATTATTGCTGTAGTGTGATGGATTCTGGTGTAAGGCTTAAGGCAGCGGCTGCCAGGGTAGGAAAACATTACGGTTTGGCTTGATGGTGTATTTACTCGTAAGAGGTCTGATCGAGAGGTCTTTATAGCAGGAATCCCTCATTAATCTCCGGATTAGGCTGGGTGCGGAAAGCTAGATCCCGTGCGGAGCCAGAGTCCGAGCTGGGATTTGCGGGGTAGGTGCCTCCCGGGCCCTTCGCAAGGCAGAGGCACGAGGCAGGGGCGATGCTCGGAGGATGCCCACATTGCCACTGCCCAGATACCCTCTGCGATCAGTCCGTTTAACCTCCGTGGTCCTCCGCGTCCGCCCTGGAAGAGGTACAATAGCGGTCCCTTGTCTCGCAGGACCAATGGGAGGATAAATGTATTCAAGACGTGAGGCACTCAGATGCAGTAGTAATCACAGCTTGTATATGCACTTAAGATAGATGAGACACGGTGGCCTAATGTGACAGAGGTCTCATGAGA